GCACAACTGAAGCACGTCACATGTTCAGTGTCAAGCTAAAAAAGCTGTCAAAGAAAAGGCAGTGCAAAGAAACTGTTCACAACAGGCCACTTGCTGCACCTTTTAACTCTCCATTGAAAAGTAAATAAAGTGCAGTATTGCAATTAACAAAGGCTTATAAGCTACAGTTTGCACTGTTGTCTTTCAATAAATAGAACTAATTTTATCTACACATATTTGATTCATTTTGTCCAGCATTTGCAAGCTGTACTCTCTGCCCAGTCAGAGACATATATTGTGTAAATGATGTTTTCAGTTTTCAGTTCAATTAATTCAATCCAAGTAAATGGAAGACTCACAAGATGTCACCAAAATCACTCTGTCCCCTTTAAATCTTTCAGAAAATGATGTAAGTGTATCGAATTATATCGAATCGTATCGTTGGCTGAATATCGTGATATATATCGTATCGTCAGCCGAATATCGTGTATCGTATCGTATCGTGAGATTAGTGTATCGCTACAGCCCTAATTCAGAGTAGCAGTCGCATTTATGTTGGTGCAAACCCTTTTCGTCTGTTTGCATTTGCAAATACAGCCGCTCTATTATGTCGAGGAGCTATTTTCGGGGATTCTGATATGCTAACGTGGGCTTGAGCTTCGCGTTACACTGCCACCTGCAGGTTTGGCATGCTCTTGACGGCATATATACACGGGTTCGTGTAAACGTAGCCTTATATAGCAAACACAAATGAGGATAAATAATAAAACACAGCTGTCACATATGAGCTAATAATGAGGAGCGGGGAAACTGAACAAACACATGATGAACATAAAAAAAACCTAAAAGTCCATGATAAAGAAACTAGGCTGAACACGACAGATATGACGCTTTGCATTCTGGACCTCGACCTGATGAAGCCTCTCTGAATGTTTCAAGATTAACAAACACGTACAGCCGGGCTATTCAATTGGCGGCCCGTGGGCCACATGCGGCCCGCCAATCATCTCCATCCGGCCCCCAACCGCCCTCCTCCTCTTATCCTGGTGGTGCGGTTAAATTTGTTTAGATATGCGCGTGGCCGCAGTGGCGCCTGCAGCTGTACGGATATACGTATTCTGCGTACCATGAGCGCTCAGACTGAACTGAGAAACGTTTCTCAAGTTTACTTTGAACTTCGCAGCATAGTGTATAACGGAACGCAAGCTTACAGGAGTTGCGTTTACTCCCGGTCCCGGACACTATTATTTAACAGCGTTGATACATCTAGTGAGAAGCGGTTCAATTCAACACACCTGTCTGTTACAAGCCACAAATCACTCAATGATTTAACAGTTTTAAATCGGATGAAACAGCCTCAACATTCCAACGCGACTGATGAGGTAAACAGCAGAAACATTGTGCCATGAATGAATTAGAAGACTTTAAATCCCTTAATCACCAGCCTTACAAACATTTACCATGAATGTACTGTAGTAATTTACCATAGTTTGGGCAGAAATTTGGAATATTTAATACTTAGTTATAGTAAATAGAGTTGGGTATCGAGAACCGGTTCCATTTTAGAACCGGTAACAAATTTCCCAAAACCGGGGATTCGATAAGAAGCACGCATTACGATTCCTCTTATCGATTCCTGACTTTGGGACAGTTGCAAATTCGTTATTTCAAATGTAGGCGCGTGGCAAGCACGTTCATAATAGAAGCGACGAGCATGCGGTGCGTGGCGCTCGTTTTTGCAGGCGCGCAGGTCATGTGACAAAAAACAACGACCTTTCTGTAACATCGAAAGCTCGGCCAAACAGCTGATCATAGCTGAACAGGGCACGTTTTTATTTCTCATCTCCATAAATATATCTAGTAGCCTAGTAAAGCTAATGCGAGGGCTATAAATCAATTAATCCTTTGCTGATACGTCCTCGTCTGCATCATGGAGAGCGCAGTTCATGGTTGCATAGCAACGACAGACGCCACGGGAGCGCAATCGCTTGTGGAAAGGAGGAGAAAGCGGCGCGGCCCCGCTTCTCCATGCATTTTTAGACGCGATATGTGAACGGTCCCTAATTCAGGAATGTATGTGGCTTAAAATCGTTTTTGTTTTGTTTAAAATGGAGATCACGATTACATACATCAGACAACTACATATGTATAGTCTAATAGTCTTTCTTTTTAAAAACTCGTTTGAATCATTAATTCAAACACTATTACTCCAGTAAAACAAGTATTTATGAATTAATTAATGTAATCAACACCTTTATATGAAGAGACTCCTTTCACTTTAGCCATTTTATTGGATATTGCTTAAAATTGGCAAGAATAAAAGGTAGAAATATTTATTCTTCAAGTATTTGCCCTTTTTTCTCTCTCCAAAAAATATTGGAATCGGAAACGAATCGATAAGAACCGGATTCGATAAGCAGAATCGGAATTGGAATCGCTAAAAATGAAACGATACCCAACCCTAATAGTAAATTATATTGCATTAGATTTATTAGGTGGGTAGAGGAATTTATAATTCGTTGTGTGTATAGTTTTTACCTGTGTGTAGGCATTTCTCTATAGTGGTAGTGAGTAAATGAGTAGCCATGCATGGTTTTACCTGTGGTTACCAAGTCTCAGTGTCAGAATTTTTAATCTAAGCCTATAAGAATTATGAATAAAATATTTCTTACCAATAGCTATGAGCATGTATAATTTATATATTTGTACACAACTGTAAATAAGTTATTTATTATGGTCTTATAAATGTGCATACTGTTGGGTACCACATTTCCAAGTAAATACAATACTTTTTTGGTTTAATTTAGCTTATTTATTAATACGGTTATGTTTCAATAAGTAATAAATAATGTTTCAATAAATCAGCTAAACCCACCGGCCCTCCTCAACTTTTCGATTCAATAATCCGGCACTCGAATGAAGCTAATTGAATAGCCCTGACGTACAGAATGAATGAGTTACACAACTGCTAAACAATTAATCACATATATTTGTATTTTTTGTTATGACATGTAATATAAGGAATTGTATAAGGAATTTCGGTAACACTTTACAATAAGGTCCATTAGTTAACATTAGTTAATGTATTTACTAACATGAACTAACCATGAGCAATACATTTGTTACAGTATTTATTCATCTTTGTTAATGTTAGTTAATAAAAATACAGCTGTTCATTGTTTGTTCATGTTAGTTCACAGTGCATTAACTAATGTTAACAAACACAACCTTTGATTTAAATACCGTATTAGTAAATGTTGAAATTAATATTAACTAAGATTAATAAATGCTGAAGAAGTATTGGTCATTCTTAGTTCATGTTTTGAGTGGATGACGAACGCGAGACGCCGAAATGGATGCCAATAAGATTCTGAATTGAAAGTTTACTTTTAAAAAGTTGCCAAATGGTCCCAATGACAAAGCCAAAGTGATCTGTGTGTTTTGTCGTTGTGAACTGAGCTATCATCGCAGCACGTCCAGTCTGAAATACCACCTGATGGCCAAGCACACACACAGCTGATGCGAATTCTCCGCCCCCTCGTCAATATCAGGACCACGTCAGTATTTCTTTCACCCTTTTATTGATGGACAGTGTTACATTGTGTGAGAGATTATTTGCTCCAAGTGAGAATGTTAGTGTGCAATTGAACACAGTATTGTCAATGTTGTTTTCAATAAAAAAAACATTTGCACAAAGAAAGCCGATCCACTTTTTCATGTTGATAAGAGCATTAAAATTAGAAAATATAATGGGAAAAAAAGAAATCAAGAGACATTTAGAATAGATAAAAATGCAATTAATTGAGATTAATCACGAGTTAACTATGACATTAATGCTATTAATCGCGATTACATTTTTTAATCGTTTGACAGCACTACTTATTATATAAGTAGATATCCCTGTAGGATGTGGTGTGCGGCAGGCTGGTCCTCTCCGCTCACGTTCGTAAGGTTTTACAACTTTGACCTGGGCGTTACCCCAGGTTCACAGGTGCTCTTGTCTTAGTTGTGCTCTCAGTATTCACACAGACAGGCTCTGGTTCGTATGGCGTGTTTGGCATTCTCGTTCCCAAAGCGTCATCGACGCATCGCGAGTTCCCTCGAAAGGGAACGTCTCAGGTTACGACTGTAACCCGAGACGATGCGTCACTTTTCCATACTTCCTACATCCCTGTGATCGACTTGCTTCGGCCGTTTTCGAAGCTAGCGCGGTTCTAAACCGGATGCGCTTTTATCCTTTCCTGGTCGTGACGTCACTCGCCCGTGACACTCACTCTCACCGTTGGACTAGTTGACATAAGTGCTTCAGACGCAATCACGCAGGGCGTTCCCAAAGCATCATCGACGCATCGTCTCGTTCCCTACTCAGGGAACTAGGGTTACAGTCGTAACCTGAGACGTTTTGTGCCATTGCTTTGGCAAAGCATCTGACAACCGAACAAAAAACTAAATGGAGATATAGCCTGGTGACTTCTCTCTGATTAAAGAGGTTGCGTTGGGTTTCAGAGCGAGGCGTTCTGTGTGACTCATGATGTGCGTCTCAAAGTGGCTCCGTTCACAGTAAATGCATGTGCTGTGAGTTTAATGTGCATTTTCAACTGCTCCCTTGTTTCAAGTTGCATTCATTTTGTTCTTCCTATTTTGCACTTTGACAGTCAGTTTGATATATTTTTGAGTGTGAATGATTGAGTATCTTTGAATAGTTCACAAAATAAAACAATCACAATTGTATTGCATTACATTGTTTTAAATCTATCTATCTATCTATCTATCTATCTATCTATCTATCTATCTATCTATCTATCTATCTATCTATCTATCTATCTATCTATCTATCTATCTGTCTGTCTGTCTGTCTGTCTGTCTGTCTGTCTGTCTGTCTGTCTCTCTGAGTGTTTCTCATTCCCATCTCTTCATGTCTCTTTCTCTTTCTGTGTGTTCTGCAGGGTTCACCCCCTCCCTTCACCTCACTCTCCTTTTCTTTCCATTTCTCTCTCCCTCTCTCCCTCTCTCTCTCTCTCTCTCTCTCTCTCTCCGTCAGTGTGTTGTGTCGTACGGTTGAGTCTGTGTTTGCGTCTCTCAGTACAGATGCTGAAGGGTGATTACTCTTCTCTGAGACTCACGGCATTGTGGATTTGACATGATCGTCTGGTTCAGTAAGTAAAACTCACCTCTGGTACTAGAACCGCTTCATTTTACAGTTAATGCATGTTTGCGTCGGCAATCTCCAGTGTGGCGTTCGGGAACACGGAGCAGCTGTGCTGAAGCGCATGTGTCCTTCACATGCAGAAGGTTGGCACGCTGGCAGGTGGGGACGCATTGGGTTTCATGCTGTCTTAAATGATCTCCTGACCAGTGTGTCACGGCTGTTTTCTCTACCATTGGAAGCTCCAGTTACAGTTGAATGGGATTATGTCAAAGCTCTCTTGCATGGGTGCCCTCAGATACGCCTGAGCACAGACAGATTTAGCTGGGGACAGTTTCCGACCCGCTGTTGTTGAGTTCGACCGCTTCAGAATGAGTGTAAAGTTTGTTGTGTGGATGTAGATTACTCAGATCGTGTTCAGAGGACACATGGCGGTGACCTCCAGAGTCGTAGCTTCACTGCGACAAAACTGTGTTTTTGGATGCACTAGGTAAGAACACGAGGGGGATCTCGTCCGTACCGAAGTCAGCAGATCCTCATTAATATGTCAGTTTCATAGCTGGTCATATAGCATGTACTATTACAGAGCATACTTGTTTTTAATATAACATACAGTCAAAATTATTCAGACATCATATATAATTTTTTATATTTTTTTACTAGTGGGTGCAGGACACTATAGTTAATTTATGTTAGTTAGGATAGCAAGGTGTCTGAATAATGTTTGGTTTGACTGTACATGTTGAAAAAAAGTGATATATATATATATATATATATATATATATATATATACGATACAGTATATAAATACCGTTTCATTGCTGAAATATGTCATGGTCATTTAGCATGTACTATTACAGAGAATACTTGTTATTAATATAATATACATGTTGAAAAAAAGGGATATATGTGATCTAAAATCAGATTTTTTTGTATGCAAAGGTTATATAAGTTTCAGACGGCGTTTATCTCGCGCAGTAGGTGTCATATGTACAAGTGCTCAGCTGTAAATGTGTGTCTGCTTTAATGACTGCAGAAGTTGCTGTGGATCGTCCTTCATCGTGCCGGCAGCGAGATGCTCGCTCATTACCGCCGCGTGCGTGTGTGTGTGCGTGTGTGTGCGTGTGTGCGCGCGTGTGTGTGTGTGTGCGTGCGTGCGTTTGTGTGTGTGTGTGTGTGTGTGTGTTTGATTGCAACTGTAAGGGATCAGGTTAGTGCATGTTGCAATCTGATGCGTCATGTGCTGTACGTTCATGAACCCACAGCTGGGTTACGACACACACTTCCCGAGCCCACAGCTGCGTTACGACACACACTGCCCGAGCCCACAGCTGGGTTACGACACACACTTCCCGAGCCCACAGCTGGGTTACGATACACACTCCCCGAGCCCACAGCTGGGTTACGACACACACTCCCGAGGTCACAGCTGGGTTACGACACACTTTCCGAGCCCACAGCTGGGCTACGAAACACACTCCCCGAGCCCACAGCTGGGTTACGACACACACTCCCCGAGCCCACAGCTGGGTTACGACACACACTACCCGAGCCCACAGCTGGGTTACGACACAGTCCCCGAGCCCACTGCTGGGTTACGACACACTTCCTGAGCCTACAGCTGGGTTACGACACACACTACCCGGCCCACAGCTGGGTTACGACACACACTACCCGAGCCCACAGCTGGGTTACGACACACACTACCCGGCCCACAGCTGGGTTACGACACACACTACCCGGCCCACAGCTGGGTTACGACACACACTACCCGGCCCACAGCTGGGTTACGACACACACTACCCGGCCCACAGCTGGGTTACGACACACACTTCCTGAGCCCACAGCTGGGTTACGACACAGTCCCCGAGCCCACTGCTGGGTTACGACACACTTCCTGAGCCTACAGCTGGGTTACGACACACACTACCCGGCCCACAGCTGGGTTACGACACACACTACCCGAGCCCACAGCTGGGTTACGACACACACTCCCCGGCCCACAGCTGGGTTACGACACACACTACCTGAGCCCACAGCTGGGTTACGACACACACTACCCGGCCCACAGCTGGGTTACGACACACACTCCCCGAGCCCACAGCTGGGTTACGACAAACATTCCCCGAGCCCACAGCTGGGAAACGACACACACTACCCGGCCCACAGCTGGGTTACGACACACACTCCCCGAGCCCACAGCTGGGTTGCGACACACAATTCCCGAGCCCACAACTGGTTACGACACACACTCCCCGAGCCCACAGCTGGGAAACGACACACACTACCCGGCCCACAGCTGGGTTACGACATACACTCCCCGAGCCCACAGCTGGGTTACGACACACACTTCCCGATCCCACTGCTGGGTTTATGACACACACTCCCCGAGCCCACAGCTGGGTTGCGACACACAATTCCCGACCCACAGCTGGGTTGCGACACACACTCCCCGAGCCCACAGCTGGGTTTACGACACACACTTCCCGATCCCACTGCTGGGTTACGACACACACTCCCCGAGCCCACAGCTGGGTTACGACACACACTTCCCGATCCCACTGCTGGGTTACGACACACACTCCCCGAGCCCACAGCTGGGTTGCGACACACTTTCCGATTCCACAGCTGGGTTACGACACACACTTCCCGAGCCCACAGCTGGGTTACGACACACACTCCCCGAGCCCACAGCTGGGTTACGACACACACTCCCCGAGCCCACAGCTGGGTTGTGACACACTTTCCGATCCCACAGCTGGGTTACGACACACACTCCCCGAGCCCACAGCTGGGTTACGAGACACACTTCCCGATCCCACTGCTGGGTTACGACACACACTCCCCGAGCCCACTGCTGGGTTACGACACACACTCCCCAAGCCCACTGCTGGGTTAGGACACACACTCCCCGAGCCCACAGCTGGGTTACGACACACACTCCCCGAGCCCACAGCTGGCTTACGACACACACTACCCGGCCCACAGCTGGGTTACGACACACACTCCCCGAGCCCACAGCTGGGTTACGACACACATTCCCGGAGCCCACAGCTGGGAAACGACACACACTACCCGGCCCACAGCTGGGTTACGACACACACTCCCCGAGCCCACAGCTGGGTTGCGACACACAATTCCCGAGCCCACAACTGGGTTACGACACACACTCCCCGAGCCCACAGCTGGGAAACGACACACACTACCCGGCCCACAGCTGGGTTACGACATACACTCCCCGAGCCCACAGCTGGGTTACGACACACACTTCCCGATCCCACTGCTGGGTTATGACACACACTCCCCGAGCCCACAGCTGGGTTGCGACACACAATTCCCGACCCACAGCTGGGTTGCGACACACACTCCCCGAGCCCACAGCTGGGTTTACGACACACACTTCCCGATCCCACTGCTGGGTTATGACACACACTCCCCGAGCCCACAGCTGGGTTACGACACACACTTTCCGATCCCACTGCTGGGTTACGACACACACTCCCCGAGCCCACAGCTGGGTTGCGACACACTTTCCGATCCCACAGCTGGGTTACGACACACACTCCCCGGCTCCCACAGCTGGGTTGCGACACACACTTCCCGATCCCACTGCTGGGTTACGACACACACTCCCCGAGCCCACAGCTGGGTTGCGACACACTTTCCGATCCCACAGCTAGGGTTACGACACACACTCCCCGAGCCCACTGCTGGGTTACGACACACACTCCCCGAGCCCACAGCTGGGTTGCGACACACTTTCCGATCCCACAGCTGGGTTACGACACACACTCCCCGAGCCCACAGCTGGGTTACGAGACACACTTCCCGATCCCACTGCTGGGTTACGACACACACTCCCCGAGCCCACTGCTGGGTTACGACACACACTCCCCGAGCCCACAGCTGGCTTACGACACACACTTCCCGAGCCCACAGCTGGGTTACGTTAGATGAACATCCAATTAAAACATTTCAGGAAAAAACTTTACATAAACAATATAATAAATCATGTTTTTGTGCTAATTTTTTTAGGACATTATTAAAAAAAAGATAATTTTGAATGAACGATCTACAGTATAAATGTTATGAAATGTTCTTGCCAGAACGTTCCGAAGTTGTAAAGTTCTGCTAAAGTTCGCTAGTGCTCTTTTGTGTGAAACTTCTGTATGTTTCGTCCTGAAGGAGGGACAAAGCAAGCCATCTAGAAACCAGAACATTACAGAACATGCCAGACAGGAAGAAAACACTTTAAAAACAGCTAGCGACTAAAACCCCTCAGAACACCATAGCAACCGCATACACTCTTTAAAAATATATATTTTTATTGACATTGATGTTTCCATGAAGGCTGAGGGGGCCTTACTTCATTCTGCTTGCAATCACATCAAGCTCTATAGGGCTCAGCTGATTGGTTTCTGTTGTATCAGTAGCCAATGAGCTCGCTGTTCAACCTTCAAATACTTGGTCAGTGTTTGCTGTAGCATCTTTCAGAAACCCTCCACCTTCCCCAGCTCCACCTTTATATCTCTGCTATGGGTTATTCATTTGTTCTATATTGTACAGCAGCAGTTTGTCATGTATCTATTGGCAGTAGAAAACAAACGCTCATTATCATATCTGAATCTCAGCTCTTGATACACAGTGATACGAACAGTAACGATGGCGAGGGTTTTACCGTATCAGTCTCATCAAAGTGGATTTGCTTTGTCAGCAGAAAACAGCGTCTTCTCGACACGAACAACACGAACCAAACTCTTCCAGTCTCAGATACACTACAGTGTTTGAGGGCGGAGCTAAGAGACGCCGCTCGGCCAATCAAGTCCATAGACTGGCATTATGCAAATTAGTTACAAACCTATGTAGATTCAGCAGGAAGTGAGACTAAAATGATTGATGACTTGTTTCAGTTCAGAATCACTTCTTATTTTTGGGAGACAAAAACTCCATTTATCTGCACTTTAAACTTTGTAGACCTTTTACATTCACAATCAGCTGTATCACACACTA